GCAATCCACTCACCTCAGCCTCCCAAAGGCGCGGGATTACAGGCTGAGCCACCGAGCCCGGCTTGATTTTTAATTTAATTTAATTTTTTGTAGAGACGAGATCTCGCCAAGTTGCCCAGGCTGGTCTCGAGCCCCTGGGCTCAGGAAATCCTCTCGCCTCCACCTCCCAAAGTGCTGGGATGACAGGTGTGAGACTCCAGACTCTAATTAGACAAATAAAATGAAAACATAAAATGCTTAAATCAAATCAACTTTCTGTTTCTTGGGCACAATGGCCACATTTCAAGTGCCCAGGAGCCCCCTGTGGCCAGTGATAGCCATGCTGAACATAGATATGGAACATTTCCACCGTTGTGTAAAATTCTGGTGGCCAACGTTAGTGGCTGTCCCCTCCGTTCACCTTGCCCCCTACTCTCTCTCCTCTGGGGCCACTGAAACTGAAATGGTTCTTGATAAGATCAGCATTTACCTGCGTGTCCCCAAGTACAATGGCCCCCATTCAGGTCTCATCTGACAGGGTCACAGGTAGCACTGGCCACTGCTGAAAGACTTCAATTCTGGAAAACCTTTTCATTGGCAGCGTCTGCCTCCCCACCCAGTCCTGCTCCCTCTCCTCAGCTGCTCCGTCCCTGCCTTTTTTTGCGGCTTTCTCTTCCTCATCACCTCCCTGGAGTGAAGCTGTTCCCCAGAGCTGGGCCCACACCAGCCTCCAAGCATGGTTCTTGAACTCGATGCTCATGGAGGCCAGGCAAGGAATTTCACAGAAAGAAGTAGAAGGGAGGAAAATAAGTGGATGTGACAGGGGATGATGGTTCATGCCCGTAATCCCAACATTTTGGGAGGCTGAGGCGGGAGGATTGCTTGAGCCCAGGAGTTCGAGACAAGCCTGGGCAACATAGAGAGATCCTATCTCTCTATATAAAAAATGTTGAAAAGCAGGGCAAGGTGGCTCATGCCTGTCATCCTAGCACTCTGGGAGGTGGAGGCAAGAGGATTGCCTGAGCCCAGGGGTTGGAGACCAGCCTGGGTAACTTGGCAAGACCTCATCTCTACAATAAAAAAAATTAGCCGGGCGTGGTGGTGCACGCCTGTGGTTCCAGCTACTTGGAAGACTGAGGTGGAAAGATTGCTGGAGCCCAGTAGGTCAAGACTGCGGTGGCCATGAGCGTGCCACCGTACTCCAGCCTGGGCAACAGAGTGAGACTGTGACAAAAAAAAAAGTTGAAAGAAAGAAAGAAGGAAAACCAGTGGATGTGATGATTTAAAGCCTGCACATTTGTCTTAAGGCATCAGACATAGGTGTTTTTTCTATTATTATTAATTTTGAGTCGGGGTCTCACTCTGTCACCCAGGCTGGAGTGCAGTGACACAAACCCAGCTCCTCCCAGCCTCGACCTCCTGGGCTCAAGAAAACTTCCTGCCTCGCCCTCCTGAGAAGCTGGAACTACAGGTGTGTGCCACCATGACCGGCTAATTTTTTTTTTTTTTTTGAGTCGGAGTCCCACTCTGTCACCCA